TCGGCGGCCTGGCCGTGCGCCGGGCTGCGAGGAGCGCTGCTGCAGGCCGGGGCGGTGGAGGTGCGGCCGCCCTCCCAGACGGTGCCTTCGGACATCCTTCAGAGGAGGAAGAGGTACGCATACCTCTACGTTTCCCTCGTTTTCCCCTTTTGGGCCTCCAGGGAGGCCCTCGGCGCCACCGCTGGATTCGCTTCGAACTTGTGGTCAGAACGCACCCCAGGAGAGGGCCGGGGAGTAGCGGTATCGGTACCTTTTGGTCTCCCCAGTCCTCTCGCTCTCGTGTTTTCTGTCTGTCTGTCTGTCTCTCAGTCTCTCTGGCTGCTTGTTTGTCTGTCTGTGTCTCTGCCTCTCTGTCCCTCTCTATCTATCTCTGTCTGTCTGTCTGTCTGTCTGTCTGTCTGTCTGTCTGTCTGTCTGTCTGTCTGTATGGCTCAAGGCTCAAGGCTCAAGGCTCAAGCCCAAGCCCAAGCCCAAGCCCATTCCTCGTCACCACTGCTGGGTGCGGCTTGGGAAACCAACGCGCCTTCCGCGGGAGCCGAATGGCGGGGGACATGCATTTGGATTCGATGCGTGATGAGAACGACATGGCCTTCGAGGAGCCAGCGAGCCGCCGCTTGCGGTGAGCGGCAGTCTGGGCAGTGTCCGTCCAGCCGCAGTCAACACGGCCTGCCACATGCAAAACGTGCGGACTCGTGTTCGGCGCTGGCGAGCTCTGCTTATGCCCATGGGGCGCTCGCACAAGTGCGCGGTGGGAGTGCGCAAGCTGCCTGGCGGGGTCCCTGCCGCCAGATGCGGAGTTCAAGCCCCACGGGCGCTCGACCCAGGAGGATCCTTCAGATCCACATGGGGGTGGCGCTGACGGGGGGGACGAAAATTAAGCGTGTCGTGGTGCGCGAGATGATCTTTATTTTTCTCGGAGGGCGCCCCTCGCGCGCGAGTTTTTTCTGGCAGCGTCTGTCCATGTGGCAGTCTGGTGATCGCGCGGGCGGAGCGATCGCGCTCATGGCGTTGGACGTAGACGAGCCACCAGGCCCCGTCCATCGCATGTCCTTCTGGCCCTTGGACTTCAACGAGCCAGCAGACTCCCCCATGGAATGCTCGTCGCGCCCTTGGACCTAGACGACACACCAGATTCCGCCCATGAAAAGCCATTATGGTCCCTGGGCCTAGACGTCCCAACGGAGTCCGCCCATGGAGCGCGCTTCTTGCCTCTGGACGTAGACGAGCCTACGCGCGCCGCCCATGGGATGTGCCTCTGGCCCTTCGGCGTATAAGATCCACCAGATTCGACCCATGGGGCGCCCTTCTGGCCCTTGGACTCAGACAATGAAACACCCCGCCCCGCTCATGAAATGCCCGCCTGGCGCCTGGAGGTAGACGAGCCACCAGGCCCCGCCCATGTAATCTAATTCTGGCCCCTGGACGTAGGCTACCCACCAGGCCCCGCCCATGGAATGCTTTTCGGGCCGCTTGACCTAGACGAGCCGCCATGCGCCGTCCATGGAACGCCATTCTGGCTCTAGGAGTTATGACGAGCCAACAGACTCCGCCCATGGAATGCCTTGTTGGTCCTCGGGCTTAGGCGAGCCACCAGGTTCCGCCCATGAAGTGCTAGTCTGGCCCTTGGGCCCATGGAGCGCGCATCCTGCCCTAGGACGTAGACGAGCCACCCGGCGCCACCACTGCCGCTTTGGGTGGCTAGTGCCGCCAAAAATAATGCGCATTGGGCGGGGCAGGGGAACTCTGGGCACGGGTGCGGCCCCCAAAGCGTCCGCGCTCGGGCCAGGACGGCGGAGGGCCACAAGAAAGTAGCGACCCTCACGCAACTCCCCGCAATCCCCCCTGCCACCCACAAGGACTCCCCCCTCCTTCTCGTGTCGGGGACCCCTAGGGTCCCTTAAATTTCAAAATCATTTAATTCTTTCTGTAAGTTGTAGGTTTTGGGCGCGTGCTTGCTTGATGCGCGCGGCCCGCGGCGCTCCTGCTAGTTCAAGAGCAGCGAGGCGTTCTGGTAGCAGAAAGAGCGCTTCAGTAATTCAGCATTCCACGTTGACCGTGCTGACCGTTTGCCGAGATGTAGCTTCAACAAAAAACATAAATTAACGAGGAGGACAGGGAGGAGGGACGGGCGAGGGGTTTTGCCAAAAGGGTGGCTTGATTTCCACAGGCATCAGGTTGACTCTTGCCTGGCCCTCGAGGCCCTCCTGGAGATTGACCTAGGAGGTGGGAATCAACACATCTTTTCCGCAGAACAAGGTGGCAGGGGGAAACGGTAACAAAGCGCGTGGGGGGGGAGAGGGGAGGAGCGGGAAGGTGAGGAGGAGGAGGAGGAGGGGCATGAGACAGGAAGGAGTGGCGGGGTCTCGCATGCACACATAACTTGTCATTTGTGTGTTTGAAGCAGGAAGCGCTCGCAAATTTTCAAAACATGTTTTCGGAGGGCCGAGGGTTTGCAGAACAGGAAGACGGAGGAGTGGTGGTGGCGGGTTGGGGGGGCGCACTCTTACAGCAGATTCCGTTTGTGGTTTGAGGCAGGAGACGCTCGCAAATTTTCAAAAATGTTTTTCTGGGGTCCAGGGGTGGGCGAAACATGAGGGCGGATGAGAGGCGGGGGCCCGCATTTACACAACAGTTGCTTCACTTTGCAATCGAGAAAGATTGAGGTTCTTCAACATGTTCGTCCTGATGGGTCTGTTGGATGGCTCGTGGCGGTGCGCGTTGGTAAGCGATGGCAATCAAGCGTTCATGTTGCCCGAGCGCGTGCGACTGTGTCTGCATAGGCCTCGGTGTTGTGTTCTCGTCCGGGGCCGGAGGAACAAGTCGGAAGTTAGTTTGGGCCTGTTTTTAAACGGAGGGGGTTCACGCAACGCCGAACATGAAGGTCTCATCTTAGAGGTTGCAAGCGGAGGGGGGGGATTACTTGGAGTGAGTTGAGAAAGGGGACTGGGCAGGTTAACTAAGGAATGGGAGGGGGAGTTAACTCAGGAAGGGAATGCAAGATGAAAGTTTCATCCTGCATCTTGGCGTCCTTGCGTCCTCGGGCTGCGGGGCCGGAGGAAAAAAATGCGAAGTTGATTTGGGCGTGCTTTTACACGGGAGGCCTTGCAATGCCGAACACGAGAGTCTCATCTTAGAGGTTGCAAGCGGGGGGGGGGGTGAGGATCACTTGGAGTGGGTTCTGAAAGGGGACTGGGCAGGTTAACTTAGGAATGGGAGTGGGACTGAACTCAGGAAGGGAATGCAAGATGAAAGTTTCATCTTGCATCTTGGCGCCCTTGCGTCCTCGGGCTCCGGGGCCGGAGGAAAAAGTCGGAAGTTAGGTCGGGCGCGTTTTTTACACGGGGGGGGCCGTGCAATGCCGAACACGAGAGTCTCATCTTAGAGGTTGCAAACGGGGCGGGGTGAGGATCACTTGGAGTGGGTTCTGAAAGGGGACTGGGCAGGTTAACTTAGGAATGGGAGGGGGGCGGAACTCAGGAAGGGAATGCAAGATGAAAGTTTCATCTTGCATCTTGGCGTCCTTGCGTCCTTGGGTTGCGGGGCAGGGGTTGCGGGGCAGGAGGAAAAAAACGAAGTTGACTTGGGCGTGTTTTTTTTTTTTTCCACGGGGGCTACGCAATGCCGAGCATGAACATCTCATCCTAGAGGTTGCAAGCGGGGGGTGAGGATTACTTGGTGTTGCTGTTTTGCTACCTGTTTAGCTTCTAGGGCAAGGGAAGAGTATCGAATTTCCCCCTTTCGGCGGCAGGGGACAAGCAACGAGTTTCCCCCCCTAGACTTGTGCCGCCCGGCTGAAGGGCCGAGGAACCGTGCATGCAAATCTCTGTCGGCAGGTCCAGTCATGTAGCCGTCGTGGCACAGCAGGTGGTCGAGAAACAAGTTTGCTCTCAGCTTAGGTGGCGCGTTCTGTCGACGCCAGTTCGCGGTGCCGTGATCGCTAGTCGCTGGCTGTTTTGCAGCCCGTGCAGCAGGATCGGGGGCAGGCGGATGATAGGAGGACGCGGCAGGATTCACTCCCGCACAATATTACGTCAGCGTGTGATGAATGTAGGTGTATTCCTCTGTGAGCGTTTCCGTGTGTGGCGCGTGCTGTTTGCAGGTGGGCACTCGTGTGTACTCGTGCGCGTGTGTGTGTGCACGAGTAAGGCTTAACATTTGATGCGAAGGCCGTCCCTCAGCTATATTGATGCCTCGAGCAGGGAAGGACCAAGGCAAAACGATTAGGCAGACAAGCCTGAACATGTATTTTCCTTGCCAAACGTCGTCATTCGGCATGGCGGTGCCCCCCGTGCTTCCTTGTGGCGGCGCGCAGCCAGGCCAGGCGCTTCCGATGCAGGCGCAGATGCAGCACATGATGCAGCAGAACATGATGCAGCAGATGCAGCAAATGCAGCAAATGATGATGCCCCCGCAGCAAATGATGATGCCCCTGGCCGCGGCCTACCCAGCCCCGGGCCCGCAGCCCGCCCAGCCGCAGACGGAGGGCGGGGACTCGGGACAGCGAGGCAAGGACAAGGATCAGGGACCCACGATCTCGGAGTTGCACCAGAAAGACGGCAGGCTCAAGTTCCACGATGATTCGAAGAAGGTCTCCACTGCCTACACCTTGGTGGGGCTCGCTTGGCGCGACGGGGGGAAGAAGTGCCTCCCAAAAAAGATGAGGGCTTCGATGTGCACTTCTTGTGATGATGAAGAATACCCGATGATGCGGGTATCACAACTTGACGACGAGATGGTCGACCTGCTGTTGTACGTCCTGACGGGCGTCTCGCCCGACACTGAGGTGTGCGAGCTCGGCTGCACCCTGAAGGGCGAGATCAGGGACGCGTGTCGGTCGCAGTTCTGGCACAGGAATCGCAAGCAGCCAACTCGCCTCCGCGTTCTCGGGGAGGATTTGGACAACCTTCTGAGCGTCGCCCTGAAGCTCGGGTACAAGCCCGGCCTGCTCTCACCGAAGTGCCGGGAGGTCTGCGACCTCATGCTGGACTTTGGGCCGCGGGATGTCCTCCCGTCGCCCGCCCGCGCCAGCGGTCCTGGGGGGGTCTCAATACCATCGAGCAGGAGCACCTGGGTGTCTCATTTTCTCTGACTCAGACGACTTTACTTGTCTCAACTTTTCTCAATTTCTCTCATTTCCTCTCAATTTGGAGTCGTTCCCGAGAGATTATATTTCAATTTCTTTCAATTTCTCTCAATTCCTCTCAATTTCTCTCAATGTCTCTCAATGGAGCTGAGCTAGAGAAAACATTACTAAAGCAGAGCCTTTTGAGAGACCCGTCCTCTCTCAAATTGCCTTTCTGAGATTTCCTCGGGGGCACCATCGGCTTCCATTCCTCTTTCTTGTCCCTTGAGGTCATCGAGAAGAGGGTGCCCATGGACGTCATCATGCGGGATTTGAGCGTGACCGAGCTGTTCGTGCAGGACAAGATGGCGCGCGTCGCCACGCATGCCCTGTTCCGCGCCCTCGTGACGCAGATGCAGAGCGTGGTGCCGGACATCTTGCCCAGGTCGTCGCTGCCAGACACGGTGCGCATCGAGCGGTCCACCGACCCCGACGAGTCCCATGTGCTCTTGGATGGCGGCATTCTTGTCCGCGCCAACACGCGCACTAGTTCCGTGGTCGAGGTGTTCCCTCGGGGGTGGTCCCCGGCATCCGTATTCATTTCCAGCCACGTCATCGACCGTGGCAGCACCGGGTCGGCCCTGCTTTGGTTCTGCCAGCATTCCCGCCTTCTCTGGACTTGCGCCTGGGGGCCCTTCCATGACATGTGGAATAGCATCAAGAACGCAGCGAAGAAGACGGGCAAGGGCAAGTGGTGGAAGTTGATCGTCCGTTTCAGCTCCATTTGCAACCTCAATCATGGGCCCTTCCGCAGCGGCGCCTGGGGGAAAGGCAGGCAGACCGCCCTGACAGCGTATTGCGAGGCGCACGCAGCCGCGTCCTTGGCTTTCCGGGAGGCAGCTTCCAGACAAGCAGCTATGGACGGTGCGACGGTCGCCTCGGACTCCGACTACGAACGTTGGTGGAATTTTGTGGGAAGGTTGCCCTCGTGTATCGAGGCAGGGCCAGTGTGCAAGTTTGCTCGCTGGATGAGTATCGAGCAGTGCTGGGAGTATTATCGCAAGGAGATATGGCTGCTCAAGGAGGCCAGGGTGAGGAAGGGAAGGGAGCGGGGGGGCAGGCAGGGAGGCCGAACCCCTCCCCCCGCCCCCCTTTTCCACCCCCCTCCGCCAGGCGGAGGAGGATAGAGGAGGGGGGCGGGGGAAAGGGTTTCGCAGCCACCGAAACCGTAGGTTCTTGTGGAGATGGACCAGTCGGCCATGCAGCGGGCTGTGGAGGCCAATGCGACAGCAATGCTCGATGCAGAGTTGGCGGGGCGCATGACGACGTCTCGCTCCGGCCTGATCGCAAGGGCTCCCACCTACATCACCCAAGAGCTGCGCGACGTCATGGATATGTTCAACATCGCCACTGGGCCCGCCAGGGCAGAGTACAAGTTCCGCGCGGAGGACGTGAAGACACCCCAGGATGGACTCGCAGATTCGATGGGCCTGTTCTTCGGCGGGTGGGAGTTGGAGCTCCTCAAAATCATTCGCGCGAGTCTGCAGAGCCCGCGGCACCTGGATCGATTATTCGCCGACGGTGACACGCCCCGTGCCAATCAGAATTACGTGGACATGTGGGACTTCACGTTGAATCTGCTCTCGGAGAGGGCCGTGAGGATCATGCCTGCCGTTTTGGATTATCCGCACTGCGCTGTCGCCCTCCTTGCAGAGCGAGAACAGGAGCGAGTGGAGGCGCGCGAGCGGGCGGTCAGAGATTTTTGGCTACTGGTGGATGCAGAGAAGCAGTCTTTGACGTCTCCGCGCGCTTGGGAGTTCATCTTGCAGGACATTGTGTGGAAGGACAACATGGTCATCCGGCTCTTGCTCCACACAGTCTACCAGGAGTGGGTCAACACGGAGGCTGGCCTCTTCGACGTGGGACCACATACGCAGCACGTGGCGCGGGCGATGCGCGTCCATCTGCCAGACGAGAAGCCGCCCGAGGACGTCCACCAACACATCAGAGACAGGCAGAGGGCCAAGCGCCACACGGTGATCCCAGTCGCCAGCATCTTCGACGCCCAGCTCGGCAGCGGAGTGCTGGAGGCGCGCGTGCCCAATACTGTGTCTGTGTCGGAAGAGGCCGTTGCCGGGTCTGCGTGGCGAAGCATCTCGGAACGAGCAAAGTCGAAGCAGTCCTACGCGGCGCGACCCAAGGATTGGCCAGTGGCTTTCAACCAGATCTTGAACACTAGGCGGGATTGGCCATCCCCTGGAGTGGATGGCATCATGAATGCATACATTACCTTCCAGTGGTTGGTGAATCGGGGCGGCTACCAGCCCCCGCTCCCTGCGCCGACTGCGTCGTGGTGGAGTCGCCTCATCCCGAAGCATGCCTTGGTGTTCGACGACGGCCCCGAGGCCTGCCACCTAGTATGTCTGCGCGCTGGGAACTGGGGTTTCCTAGCCGCGCGGATGGTGCCAGTGGACGGTGAGCACGTTCGTCTGGAGGCGTCTGCTGGCTCTATTTCCGTTAGCCACCTGCTCGGGCCTGTCGAGGTGACCACAGATGTACACCCCGTGTGGTTGCCAGGCGTAGGGGTCGTCCTCCGCCTCGGGGGGAACTGGCAGTCCGCGGTGCACGTCGCGCTGCGGAGTGGCCGGCGCCTGAGCAACTGGGAGTTAATTTTCCCGCTTCCGCGGCTTCCGGCAGCCTCTCGGAGGGGAGGGTGGAGAGGGGGGGGAGGGCGAGGAAGAGGAGGGGGGGGGCGGGGGGGGGAGGGGGAGGAGGAGGAGGAGGAGGCGGAGGAGGAGGAGGAGGAGGAGGAGGAGGAGGAGGAGGAGGAGGAGGAGGAGAGGGGGGGTGGGGGAGGCGGAGTAGAGCAGGAGAAGGGGTCGGCAGGGGGGAGGGAAGGAGAGAGGGAGACGTGGATGGATGCAGCGGGTGCGATGCGGAGAAGGGAGGGTGGGTGGGGCGGAGGAGAAGGAGGAGGAGGGGGAGGGGGTGCAAGCATTCTGCCCTTCCGCGCTTGGAGTTATCAGAGCGAATCATGTAAATATGCACCGACCTATGCGCGAGGTGCGAGGCCTCGGGGATGGGGGTAGGGAAGTGAGGGGGGGAGCGTGGGAGGAAAGGGCGGGGGAGGATGGGGGGAGGGAGAAAAGGGGGGGATGGGGGAAGGGACTAATGGGAAGAGGAGGATGAGGAGGGGGGGGATGGGGGGGCGGAGGAGAAAAGGAGGGGGGCAGGTAGAGGAGGGCAGGGGTACAGGGGCGTAGGCTACATGGGACGCGCGTGGGTACTCCACAGGGGAGTCTGGCCGTCCCAGGCGTTGCTTGCGCTGGAGGCGCCCTCGGCTCCCCTTGCTGTCCTTGGAGCTCTCAGCGCGCTGCAGCTCGTGGAGAGGCTGGCCACCGCGATCTTCCCAGACGACCGGGGGGCGGTGGTGGGGATCGTGGAGAGGTACCGCGCGGAGAGAGGGCCAGAGGGTGACGAGGACATCGTCGATGAGGAGACGGCCGAACTGATTGAGGAGATGGCCATTTCTGACCAGATCAATAACGACGACTTGAAGGCTTTCCGTGACGACCTCAAAAGGAAGGCCATCAGGAACTTGGCCAGGAAGCGGGCTGTGGATCGGCAGCAACGCGCGGTGGAAAAGGCACGACAACGGGCCCGCCTGGAGACTAGGAAACGCAAACTCAAAGGTGGTTTCGCCAAGGGCGGCAAAAGCCAAGGCAAAGGCCCGCCCTGCAAAAGCGAAGGCAAAGGCCCGTCCTGCCATCCTAGACGAAAGCCCAGCTGGCCCGGCAGCCCCAGCAGCGCCGCTGCCCACGCCAACGCCAACTCCGAGCGCAGGGTCTCACGGGCACTTTGAAGTCAGCGAGTTTCGCGGGAATTGTGATTTCAGTTTTCCTGCGAAGCTTCCCCCCCGCAGTTGGGCCATGAACCAAATGTATTGGGCCTTTTCCAGGCGATGTGTGATCCCAGTGCCGAGATGGAATCCTTAGCGTTTCTGTCTGGCAGGCTTCCCTGGAGGGGTGGGGGGGGGCTCGAAACCGGATAAATAATATGGCATCCGAATGCCCTCCTCGCTCTGGCAGGGGCTTCCTTTGAGGGTTGGGAGGGGCGCGAAACCTTGTAAGTAGTACGGTATCTGAATGCCCCCCTCGCTTTGGCGGGGCCTCCCTGGAGGAGCGGGAGGGGCGCGAAACCTGATACATAGCATGGTATATGAATGCCCTCATCGCTCTGGCGGGGCCTCCCTGGAGGGGTGGGGAGGGCGCGAAACCTTATAAATCGCATGGTATCCGAATGCCTTCCTCGCCCTGGTGGGGCCTTTCTGGAGGGGTGGGAGGGGCGCGAAACCTGATTAATAGTATGGTATCTGAATGCCCCCTCGCTCTGGCGGGGCCTCCCTGGAGGGGGGGAAGGGAGCGCGAAACCTGGTGAATAGTCTGGTATCCGAATGCCCTCCTCGCTCTGGCGCAGCCTCCTTAGAGGGGTGGGAGGGGCCCGATACCTTGTAGATAACATGGCATCCTTATGCCCTCCTCGCTCTGGCGGAGCTTCCCTAGATGGGGTGGGAGGGGCGCGAAACCTTGTAAATAGTGTGGTATCCGAATGGCCTCCTCGTTCTGGCGGCGCCTCCCTGGAGGGGTGGAATGGGGCGCAACTTCATAAATCGTATGGTATCTGACTGCCCTCCTGACTCTGGCGGGGCCTCCCTGGAGGGGTGGGAGGGGCGCGAAACTTGATAATTAGTCTGGTATCCGAATACCCTCGTCGCTCTGGCGGGGCCCCCCTGGAGGGGGGGGGCGCCATAACCTACCGCGCGCGCATGCACGCGCAGGCAAAAGTGCACGCGCACACACACACACACACACCTACACACAAAGAAAAACACGCACCCACACGCACACACGCATGCACGGACGCACGCACACACACACACACACACACGCACGCGCGCGCTATGGCGCACGCACGCATGCGCGCACGCACACTCGCACGGGCGGGCTCCACGGGGCCCCCGAGAGTCTTGCGTCCTGGGGCCTTGGGTCGCCTGAGCGATTCATCAGGATGGCGTGGAACCGTTGGCCTGCAGGTTGGCCGCGGGGGCGCCTGAAGGCAGCTGTGCCGAGGAGGTCAAGCGTGGCCCGATGAGGCCGCCCACCGCCGTCGGAGGTTGGCAGGTATTGGAAGTTCCCCACGGATACCTTCGCTACAACGCAGAATTGCGCCGCTTGGACGCGCATTGCTCGTTGCACCCGAATTGCAAGTGTGACCGGAAGCTGGGCAAAGGCCCAAGGGGCGCAATGGGCAGGCATTTCCCGACGTGCATTCCGGTCGCCGCCCCCCTCCCCGACCCAGGCGCAGGGGCGGGTGGTGGGGGGGGCGTCGACCAGAATGCACATCGCGGAAATGGTTGCTCTGTTGCGTCCGCGGGAAGAAGGCCCCATCGGCCTGCACATGGCGTGGCTTGCCCTGCCTGAATCGGAGGTCCCCGCCAAAGCAGACCACGAGGAGAAACAATTCTTCCTGTCCGCTGCTATGAGCAAGGAGCCGAGGGGCGAGGGGCGCCGCCGCTTCTCCCATCTGGCCTCCGAGAAGGGCGGCCTGCACCGCGTCGTTCTGGACGCGGAGACTGCCAGTAGGGGCAGTGGGGAGGAACCCGAGTACCTCCCATGCGCCCCGCCGAGGTCGTTGAGATGAGTCGGCCTTTCTGCGCTGGATAGGCTCTCGGTGCCCGAGCTCTCCTCGTCCTCCGCCCTCGCACTCCTCCTCTGCCTCCTCCTCCTCCGCCTCCTCCTCCTCCTTATTCATGCGCTTTTTTATGTTTCCGTTTCCCCGAGCAATCCCCCTCCATTTGCCATAGGCAATGCGATGCGTGCCCCAGGGCAGTAACAGTGCCACGGCGAGGTGTCGTCATGGCGCACGATCAAAGGGCCCCGCCTCCCCCGTGCCCGCCCCCCCCGTGGGCCAGCTTCCCCTGCCTTCCATTCCCCCGAACCCCTCCCCTTCCATTGCACCATCCTCCTTTCATCCGTCCGCCATCTTCTCCCTTTCTCCTCCTCGCTTTGCCCTCCCCTTCCTCCGCCCCCCCCCCCTGCCCACCTTTGTCCTTCGCCCCCCCCGCCACTAGCCATATTATCCTTTCTTCCCCTCCTTTCACTCCGCCTCTCTGGCTGGCCCCTCCCCCCCCCCCTCCCGCCCTCCCTCTTCCCCTCCCCCGAATGCTCCACCCCTTCCTCCCGCCCCACCAGACCCCCCCCTTTTCCCCAGCCCCGCCCTGCCATCTCCCTTCCCGCCTTGTCTCTTCGATCCTTCCCTCTGGCCGAGGCCCGCCCCTGGGGGGTCGCCGTCGGGCGAGGCGCTTTCGCACGTGCGTTTTCGCCGCGACTGCTCTCGGACCCCCTGGCGCCGCGGTGCCCCCCCCCCGAGGCGGCCCGCGGGGGTGCCCAGAGGGCCTTCCGAGGTCCCCTGATGTTCCTTGTCCGCCTCCGCGGGCCACTGGGCTGTTTGTTTTTTTGGTATTGTATTTTGGTTCTGACGTTTTCGAGGATTTGGGGTGATCACCAGAGGCCTTTAAAAATTTAGGATGTGTTCGGCGTCTTCGGCGGCCTGTGACGGGCCCTCGACGTCGCGCGTCGGAGGTCTGGGGCGGTGTTAAATCGACCCCTGATTTTGTCCTGGTGTTCGCTCTGGCCTGAAATTCGGGGGAGGGATCCGGTCGTGGCGACGAGGGCGCCGCGGGAGGTCCAGACAGGTTCGACAGCTTCCCAAAAATCTGGACCTTCGATCCTCGAATCGAGAGGGGGTGGCGACGAGGAGGAGGAGGAGGAGGAGGAGGAGGAGGAGGAGGAGGAGGACGAGGACGAGGACGAGGACGAGGACGAGGAGGACGGACAAGAGGCGAGGGCCGAAAAACACCCTCCTCCCGTTCCCCCGCTGTCGGTGGCCGACGCCTCCGTCGGTGCACGCGGCCGATCCGGAACCGCGGCTGGGTTCCATGAGGAGAAGAAGTCGGGGAGGAGGAGGAGGAGGAGGAGGAGGAGGAGGAGGAGGAGGAGGAGGAGGAGGGGGGAAAGGAGGAATGAGGGAGGAAGAGGAGGATCGTGGAGGAGGGGGGGAAGGAGGACGGAGGAGGAGGAGGAGGATCGGGGGTCGGGAATCGAGGAGGAGGAGGAGGAGGAGGAGGTAGAGGAGGAGCAGGGAAATGAGGTGGAGGAGTAAAAGGAAAAAGAGGGAAGGAGGACGAGGAGGAGGAACAATAGAGAGGAGGAGGAGGAGGAGGAGGAGGAGGAGGAAAAGGAGGAGGAGGAGGATCAAGCATGATTCGCGATGTTGATTTGTTTTGTATTTTTGCGAGTTGTCCGGCTCCCACCTGTCCCTGCCCCGCCCTGCCGTTGGATCCGACGCGGGGGCTGGGCCCTGCACCACCGAGGCCCTGGCGTCGGCCCGCCCGCTGACGTTTCGTCCCTGGGCGGGAAGAAGAACAGTGTAAAAGGGGGGGGAGAGAGGGAGGGATGGATGGAAGGAATGGGGTAGGAAGGGCGGAAGGAGGGCGCGAGGAAGGGAGGGGGCGGGAGGAAGGGACGGATGGATGGATTATGGGGGGGTGTCAGGAGTTAGTGAAATGCGGCGCGGTGGTTTCAGATTCGGCTCCCCCGTTCGTCCTCCCCTTCCCTGTCTTGGCGCCCTCCCTTCCTTTGTGCATCCGTCTTTACATCACTACCCCTCCCTCCCCCTTCCTGCCCCCCCTCCCTCCCGCTTTTCCTCCTTCTTTCCCTTTTTTCCTTCCTCCCTCCTCCCTTCGTCGTCGACGTCGTCGTCGTCGTCGTGGTGGTGGCGGTTGGCCGATGTCCGCTCCTCGTGCTCCGTGGGGCCGCCGCTCGGAGGAGCCCTCGAGGCGTCGGTGGGAGGACCTTCTGCGTCCTCCAACGCTCCTCCAGGGACTGTCCCTGGAGTCCTTGACGGTCTTTCGAGGTCTTCGATGGTCCTCCGAGGCCCTCGCAGGTTTTCGGCCGCCCCTGGAGGCTTGCAAGGGCCCCCCGAAGTGTTCCAGGGCCCTCGGGACAGGGCGCGCGTTCCTGGTGATCGTCGGGGGTGTCGGTGGGCTTCGGGGGCTCTCGGTTTCATCTGGCGACTTTCGGAGGTTTCCGGGAATCCCCCTTACGATCTCCGGAGGTCCTTGGCAGCTCTTGGAGGCCCTGCGTGGCCCCTGGGAATCGGGGATGCCTGGCAGCGTTTGGATGTCTCGGGGGGTCTTCCTTAGGGGGGTACAACGCACAATCACACAAACATATGTACATGTATGTGCAAATGCACATGGGCATGACGAAATAATGCTATGGATTTGTAGTGCGTTGTGGGTGCGATGCATTGCCACGGCTGCTGCCACGTTGCAGCCGCCGTATGTTTGCAGGCGCAGTGGTTTCGGAATACCCCAAATGGGATCCGATCATACTCCCGGTGGCGGTTCGCTTGTATCATTGTACGAAGCCTCTGTGTCGTCATATTTGTTACGTTGTAGTGTACTTGCGCTGGAATGTAGTTACGAAGCGCCAATTATGCAGCCCCGTTGCGTAGAGGTTAGGGAGGTCGTCGGAGATATCTGGTAGCCTTTTTGGATGCCTCGGGGAAGTCTTCCTTCGGGGGGGCTTACAGCACGCAAACACACACAAGCACGCACATACACATATACGCATGTGTTTGTTTTAATACACGTATACATACCGAAATCAATATATAGATTTTCAGTGGTTTGTGAGAGAGCGATGCGTTTTCGCGGTTGCTGCCACGTTGCAGCCGCTGTGAGTTTGCAGGCGCAGTGGTCTGGGGGATACCCCCAAGGGCTCCGATTAGGCATCCGTCGGCGGCTCGCCTGTACAGTTGTACGAAGCCTCTGTGTCGTCTTATCTGTTACGCTGTGGTGTGATTGCGTTGGGATGTTGTTGCGAAACGCCCATTCTGCAGCCCCGCTGCGTAGAAGTGGTTTCGCGTGGCGCTCCCTGGTCCTTCGCGGCTTGCACGGACGTTGCGCAGTGTTGCGCAGTTGCGCACACTCGGTTACACACTGAGCCCGTTTGGTTGCGTTTTGAGCGCCCTTTGGTTCTCTCAGCGGCGGTTTGATCGCCCCCCCCGTCTCCGCCACCCCCATGTGGATCTGCATGAGAGGATGCGGACGCAGCCCCGATGCGTGTGCAAGCGGCCCCAGGTGCGGCCTCGGCTGGAGCTGCAGCTGGAGAGGGCGCCGGCCACCCTTGCCGGCACGCCGCGCCCCTGCACCCGGAGTGGGACGAGCAGCGTTTGCCCGCCGCCGCGTGGTGGGACACGCTGAGCTGGGAAGACGCCCTCAAGGCTGGCACGACGACCTTTGTGCAGGTCCCAGACCGTTTCCGGGGAGCCCTCCAAGAGGCGCGGCACAAGGCCCTTGAGGTCCTCAGGCTTGCGCGTGGGTCTTCGGAGGCCGAGAGACAGTGGAAAGTAGTCCTCCTCATGGACATGCTTCTGTTGTCCAAGTCGTCTGACGCCGCTACTTGTGGGGAGCTGCTCGAAGAAAAGCTTCCGTGGTTTTGGGGCGGGCAGTGGTCAGCCCTCTGGGCTTCCGCTCGGGCTGGCAGAGCAATCCCGAGTAGGAGCCGCGACCAGACCGACAAACAGCGAGCCGCACGGGTCCACACCCTCGCCGCTTCAGGGGAAGAGGGACGAGCGCCGACGGCAGCCACCAGTGCGAAGCTCGCCCCGCGAACGCCTGAGACCTTACGGGGGGTCCTTGATTGCTTCCTCCGTGGACGCTGCCGTGCCGGCCGCGCCGGCCGCCCGCGAAGCCCCAGACGACGAGCTGCTCGAGGCGGTGCAGGAGGAGATCCGGCAGCTCCTGCGGCGACCAGTCCGGCTCACCGCACCAGGTCTGCTCGGAACGAGGCTGGAACGCCTGGAGACAGCAGCCGCCAGCAAGGATACGCCGCAGCTCCTCTCAGAGGCGGTTTCCTGGGTGACCTTTGGCCTTTTTCCTGCCGGGGCGCTGCAGGCCGCGCAGGTCGGCGAGGTCGTCGCCCACGACAAAGGGGGGGCGAGGTCCAGCCTCTGCTGGTGAGCTCGGCTTGGCGGCGGTTTGGCCTTCGGGCGCTGGTCCGAGTGCGGAAGCAGCAGCTGACGACCGCTGCTGGCGAGAACCAGCACGGCGTGGGGAGACAGAGGGGCGCGGACCTGCTGCTGCGATGTCTGGAGGCACAGGCGGAGGCCAGACCCACAGTCAGTTGTCTTTCTGAAGCTAGACCTGAAGGCGGCTTTCCAGAGACTGAGACGCCAACCTGCCACCGCAGCGATGGCGAGGCACGACCCCGCTGTGGCTGCCGCCCTGTCCACCTGGCACGGAGGCCCAGTGGGCCACTATTGGAGGGGCGCTGGCGGGGCGCTGCACAAGGTCCCAAGGCTGCTGCTGGCGGACGGCAGGGCGCTGGCTGACTTCTTGGCCCACGAGCTCAAGCAGGGCTTGGCCACGGAGACGGTGCAAAAGACAATCCACGCTGCGCTCCTGCAGCGTTTGCCCCTTTTCCAGCGAGCCAGTCTGCGAGGGCAAGCGGGGCCGGGCGCGGCGGCCTTCCTGGCCTACGCCAGCGAGGCGCTCTGCGCGCTTGAGGACGCGCACTGGGAGACGGCAGCTCGCCTGCGGCTGCGCCTCCCGCGGCCGGAGTGCGACCGGGGCC